TCTGGAAGAGTTGGTTTAACAGGCGTGATCATGTTGAGGTTGTAGGCACTCTGGGCTTGCAGCCTGGCCTCCTGCTCAGACACCTCGCTTCTGTTTAAATTCTCCAATTACTGCGTCCTAGGGCTTCTCTGAGTTGGAACCTCCAGTGAGAAGGTTCTGAGGGTAAGGTGTTGAGAGGGGCCAGAAGTGAGGGCTCCGGGGACAAACCTTACAACTTTCTTGATTTTCCTAGGATTGGGGACAGGCATGTTTCCATGGTGAGCTGTTCTGCTGAAACCATCCTAACATACTTCATGGAATACATCTTTAGAAAAGGGGATTAAATCTAACGGTGTTTAATTGAGTTCTGTGCGACCCAAATGGAGGGACCTCTTGTGTGTTCACCGAGTCTCTGACATCGATGACTGATGTGTGGTAGAAGCCGGGACTGATAATTCTGCATCTTGGTGATACTGTAAAGATTCCATTCCACTACTAACGACATCGTGTTATTATTTTTTGTATAATTGTTCATTGTTTCAAAAGCACTTTTGTGTAGTCTTGCATTTGATTCTCCTGATAGCGTCATGTGAATAGATAAGAATAAACAATTGTAACAGATAGTAATAGTGGTTAGTATCACAGTGAATGCCATGCCGGGCGTTGCACTGTGTCTCATCCGTCATCTCATTCAGGGCTCACGTCCGTTTGTAAAGCAGCCATCACTTTTCATCCCTGTTGTGCAGATGAGAAAACTGGGGCACAGAGGCTGAACGCGGGGCCCCAGATCTCCCCGCCTCCCAGGCAGGGACGGGAGCCACGGTCTGTCTACCTTTGAAGCCTGTGCTCTCAGCTACTCCTTCCCTACCTGGGTATTCTCCAAGCACTGAAGGAAGAAGAGAATAACGTGTAGTGTTCCAGGCAGAAGGAAAAGCATGTTTGGAAGTGCATGACTCACGGGGAGAGTTCCACCGTGCCTGGCCAAAGCAGTAAGGAAGACACTGAAGAAGGTGGCAGTGACCAGCCCTGACGGTCGTTCTGGGCTAGGGTGTGTCCTTTCTCCCGGGGGTATGGAGGAAGCCACGTGGGGCCTTCCACGTGCTCAGGCTGCCGCTCAGAGCACTCTAGCTGCTTCATGGAAAGTTGATTGGATAGTTGAGGCTATTGTGGCAGGCAAAGGGGCAGACGTTTGGTACCATGTGGATCAAGACTACACGAGGGGAGTAAAGGGCTGGGCAGGGCGGAAGGGAGGTCATGAGGCTGAAGATATTATAGGAGACAGAATTGACAGGACCCGGTGACCAAGTGGCTGAAACCCATGAGGTTATGGAGGAGTGAAGTATGAGACTCAAGTTAATGGCTTCAGGCCTGTAATCCTAGCACTCTGGGAGGCCAAGGCCGGTGGATCGCCTGGGGTGAGGAGTTTGAGATCAGCCTGAGCAAGAGCGAGACCCCATCTCAACTAAAAAATAGAAAAACTAGCCAGTTGTTGTGATGGACGCCTGTAGTCCCCACTACTCAGGATGCTGAGGCAAGAAGATTGCTTGAGCTCAAGAGTTTGAGGTTGCTGTGAGCTATGATGACACCATAGCACTCAACCCCAGGTTCACAGGGTAAAGGTATATTTACCCAGGGTGAAAGGGTGAGATTGTCTAAAAATAAAAATAAAAAGTTCATGGCTTTAGTGTAGATAGAAGTGGGTTCCCAGAAGTGGAGGGCCCAGCTGTAGAAACTTATCTGAAAGTGAGCCATGAGATGAATCTGTGGTGTCTCTGAGAGCCCAGGTGTCCGCTCTACTGTCCAGGCTGGTCATGGTTCATCCTTTCCCAAAGTAGCTGGTGCTGGCAGGGGGCAATTCTCACTCACTCTTTGTACTTTGATGCAAAACCCATGGCCCTGTGACTTTCACTTTCCTTCTACCTTCTGGCCTCACTCACAAGTTGGAGAAATCTTTCACCCTGTTTGTAAACCTCTCCCAGTGAAGTTGGCCTCCAGTAAGCCCCCAGTGGCATGGTTCTGTAAGGTGCTGTTTGATTTTTCCTGTCTGGTGTGGTCACTCCTGTCCTCTAGTGGCCAGTAATGGAACAGCATGGAGGCACCCTGAGTCCCATCCCGCTGGAGAGGACTATCCTTGCCCTTCTGGAAAAAAATCCCAGAATTCCTTTCATCTGCAGTTCGTGACCATCTTCATAAATGGTGGGGGGGACTGGATAAATTCCTGGGGGAAATGGACTTTATATCCTACTTCACACTGTTTAAAAGTCGAATTTGGATGGGTTATAGAACTAAACAGAAAAGGCTGGACCTGTAAAGTTTCTCTAAGAAACTGTAAGACAGTGTGATTGTGACCTTGGGGCTGGCAAAGATTTTTAAGAGCAGACCCAGAAATGCTAACCATAAATGAAAAGTTTGATCAAGTGGACTTTATAAAAATTAAAAGTTTCTGATCATCAGAACACCTAGGGTTAACTAATTTATACACAGGGCGCCCCACAAAGTTTGTGTGCAATTTACTATGTTAAACTACCTTAAATTGCATATGAACTTTATGGACACCCTACATGTGTAAACAATTATATACTTGCATATATAGGAATATGCATTATAAGAATATGTAAAAATATTCCTAATTCCCAAATATAAAGAAAGTGTGGTCTTACCCTAGGGTATAATTTTTTTTTTCTCATTGGAATGCTTTTATCTCAAAACTTACCTTTTTATCTCAAATTTATTCTTTTAAGAGTCATTCTGCCAAACCTTTGCCCATGAAAGATGTGAAGTGCACGTCACAGACTGAAAAATGTTCACCCACATACCTATCTGCCAAAGAACTTGTATCTAGAATGTGTGAAGAACTCCTACCAACCAAAAGTAAAAGATAAACAACCCATTTTTTAGAAATAGGCCAAAGACTTGAACAAACACTTTATGAAAGAAGATGTATTAATGGCCAATAAACCCAGGAAACTCGCCTAACCTCACTAAGTATCAGAGCAAATAAATTTAAAAGACAATGAGATACTATTTCATACCCACTAGAATGGTTAAGGTGAAAAATGAATGAGAGTAATCAAATGTGGGTGAGGATGTGGAGCAACTAGAACTCTCAAATGGAGTGGGCAAAATTGAGCAACCAGTATGGGGGACTTATTAAGTTAAACATACGCTTACCCTGTGAACCAGCAAATTACCCGCTAGGTATTTCCCCCTCCAAAAAAGATCTATTTATAAATCCATCTTTCTATCCATCCATTTATCATCTATCTTCCTGCCTCCACAAAAATACTTTTAAAAATCTGGATAGCTATTCTATTCCTAGTACCCCCAAACTAGAAACATTTGAAATATCCACCAACAGGAGAACGGAGTCATATTTTGTGGCTTATCCATCCAGTGGAATATTGCTCAGTGATTAAAAAAAATAGAATGACTATCACTTATGACTACAGATGACATAAGTGAGTCTCAAAACAATTATACTGAGGGAAAGAAATCATTAACAGAGGAGCAATAGACATGATTCTATTTATATGAAGTTCAAGAACAGGTAAAATTAATAAATGATGATACACATTAAAAATTAATAAATGGTGACACTCATCAAAAATTAATAATGGTGACACACATCAGAAGAAGGTTTGCCTATGGGGGGGGGGTGACCAGAAAGTGCAAAAACAGAACTTTATAAGGCAATAGAAATATAATAAACCTTATACCAGCATCTAAATTTACCAAAATTCAAAGAATTATATACTTAAGAACTCTGCATTTGACTCTTAAGTAAATTCTACTCCAACAAAAATATAAAATAATCTTAACAAAATATATGTAGTCTAAGCCCACGGTTTAAATAGCCACCGTTTTCAATGAGATACTTTGATCTCAAATGAACAGGGTGGGTTTTATTTTTAATTTATTTTATTTTTGTTTAGAAAAGTAATAAATACGTGGGTTGTCTGCTCCGGCTGCCGTAAGAAAATACTGTAGACCACATGGGTTGAACGACAGAAATTTGTTGTCTCGGTTCTGAAGGCTGGACTTCCAAGATCAAGGTGCTGGTGTGGTTGGGTTCTGGCGAGAATCCTCTCCCTGGCTTGCAGATGGCCACTTTCCTGCTGAGTCCTCACCAGGCAGAGGGCAGGGCAGGGGGGAGAGATCTCTCTGGTATGTCTTCTTATAAGAGCTTGACTTCCATCCTGAGGGCCCCACCCTCAAGACCTCATCTAACCCTAATTACCTCCCAAAGTCCTCATCTCCAAATGGCTTTGGGGCTTTGTTCTTCAACACATGGATTTGGTAGGGGGATGCATTTCAGTGCACAGTAATATACATTCTAGAAAATTTCAAAAATATAAATAAGGGGACAGAAAAAGAAAAAAATGACATGGGACTCGCGTTTACCAAAATAGAGTCATTGTTACCGTTTTGATTTATTTTATAGCCAAAAGTTTTGTTGTTTCAGTTTCTGCCTAGCTGTGGTCATTCTGTGCCAGTAATTTTGTAACATAGTCTTTCTCATTGACTATAACAACAGGAACTTCTTCCTGGTACTAAAATCTCTTCCTCGGTATGCTTTTTTAATAGCCACAGAGGTTCACTGAGTAACTGTGCTGTTGTTTATCTGTTATCCTGTGGTTAGATGTTAACATACTGCCCACTGTTTTGCTAGTATAAATTATGCTGTGATACACATATTTGTACATAAGGCTTTCTCTGTAGATTCTTTCCTTGGCGTAGAATTCTAGAAAATGGGAATTTTAGGTTAAAAGGGTATGCTCTTAATACATGTTGCCAAATTCCTTTCCAAAAGGTTGTCCCAATGTACCTTGCCACCTGTGGCAGGGCAGGGGGGGGAAAATGCCTAGGGGTTAATTTGTTTTAAGGGGAGGAGGTGGTGTCCATTCATCTTTTGGTTGACTTCTTTCCAGGAGGACAGCAAGGGCAGTGGAAGCTGACTTCTGGTTGTGCAGAATTCCCCTCGCTCTTCTGGCCCAAAGTCCTGCCACTTCCTCTACCTAGCAGCCTGTGTCCTGGGCTGTGAGTAGGAACAAGCCATCCCATCAGCAGCCATGAATTTCCTCCGGCGGCGTCTCTCCGACAGCAGCTTCGTGACCAACCTGCCCAATGGCTACATGCCGGACTTGCAGCGCCCAGACAGCTCCACCAGCTCCCCTGCCTCCCCGGCCATGGAGAGGAGGCACCCGCAGCCCCTGGCCGCCTCCTTCTCCTCTCCGGGATCCAGCCTGTTTAGCTCCCTCTCCAGTGCCATGAAGCAGACCCCACAGACCCCCTCAGGGCTCATGGAGCCTCTGGGTCCCTCCACACCTGTTGTTCAAAAACCCAGGATCCTGTTGGTGATTGATGACGCACACACAGACTGGTAAGCAGGAATCCGCCCATAGCGCCAGCTCCGGGGCAAGAGAGGAGATGGGGCTTATTTCATCTCTTTGGGTGGGGAGGGAGAGAGTGACAAGAGGCCCAGGTGGTGTCAAAGACTGGCCAGAGAGAAGGACACCAACAGGGACCGAATGACTGTCACCACCAGGCTCCTCAGCACCTGTGCAGAGCCACATTCTCTTCTAAGGGCTTCACGTTTATAGGTCCTCAGCTCCTCACCTGCAAATCAAAAATCCAGAACATTCTGGAAATTAGAAAATGTTTTACACTCTTTGGGCAATGTGGGAGTAAGGGGAATGAGAGTGATTACCCAGTATCCCAATGGGGTCCAGAAATTTTGTACACCCTTCTTTTAGAGGGGAGATGAGGATGAGGAATACAGACGGTTCTGCCTAGGAGCAATAAATGTTTGCTCGGGAGGATGATTGAGTGGGAGAAACGCTGGCTTGTAAATTGACCTGAGAGATGGCTATTATACTTAAAATGATTTGGCCAGGTCTGGTTGCATTCTTGATCTTTTCTTCTGCAATATATTGAGATAATGGGAAGGGAAGGGAGGAAAAGGGAAAGGAAGGGGAGGGCCAGAAGTGTTCCTCTGATGGGTCCATCTGGTTATCCAGATACAAGGAGACCCCCTTCCAAGGGCCTATTGATCTTTAATTCACAATACTCTACACCAAGGAGTTATATTGTGAGGAAGACATTTCCTGAGCTCCGTTAGCAGCAATGTTAGGGTCTGAGAGTCTGAATCACACCTCTCAGTGTGCTTGTTCGTATGATTTATTGAAACCATCATGATGTATTTCCTATGGAGTGTGACTCGGAGACCACTAGGGATGTTACATGGTATATGCACCATATCACTTTTTCAAAAATAAAAGGAGTCTTAAATCCAAAGTACCTGCCAGATTAGCCATTGTCAGCCTCAGTCACCCTCCCTCCATAAAATGAGGTTGTTATGAGGGTAAAAGAAACTAAGACGTTATCCCAAACCCTTGGGACCAGAGAGCCTGAGTGTGCCTCCAGCTCTTCCACATCCTGGCAGTCTGGCTCCACAGCCTGTCCTGTGAACAGCAAAGGTGACCCAATCTCCAGCCCCTTCTCGGGTGGTGCCCCCTAGATGGTGAGCTCTCAAGATCACTGCAGCCATCATTCACCAGGTAGCTACTAAACCTGATTCAGTGCCAGGCACAGCCTAAACTGAACAGGTGTGGAAGTGGACAGTTCCCTTTGTACGTCCGTGGGGCTGCAGGTGGAGTAGAGGCCTCTACCCCAGCTTTTTGGTACTGAGAGATGATAAATATTGTCCGTGCAGTTGGGGATGTAGAATTTGCAGATCAGGGGGTTGGCACAAATGTGGGAGCAGGGACTCAGTGCATCCAGGGCAGGGGAGTACATGGATGCAAACCAGAGCAGCTGACAGTGACCACACGGCGGCTGCACCGTGTGCTGTGTGTTCAGTGAAGAGGTGGATACGTTCAGGTCACTAAGCGTTCAGATCCTCTGTTGTTCTCACATGCACATGAGCAGCCGCACCCTTCCCTTGAGAAGTTTCCTCGGGTTGGGCATCATTAAGGCATCACCCTTTGGAGTGGGAGTTATTCATAGTCAGCTGGTCCTGCGGGCTCAATGGACAGTCACCAATAGACTGTACATTGACTGAGTAGATGCTTAGCAGAGCTAGATGTCAGCCTTCGCTTTCCTGTTGACTAACTGTCTCTTCTTAACGAGGGTGGTCATGTGAATCGTCTCTGTTCTGATCCACTCGCAACCATCTTCCGTGTTACTGCTTGCTTGAAGGTGCTTACACGAAGTCTTGTTTATCTCTGCGTATGGGTTTACGTAGAGCTACACATTTAGTTTCTAAGCATGGGGTTATTATCTGCCGAGGTGTTGCTTGTGGGCCCCCTTCCTCCTGCATTGCCCCTGTCTGTCTCCCCGGTCGTCAGAATGGCTACGTGGCCCTTGAAGTCTTCCACCTCTGTTCCATCCAACATTTGACCTTGATTCTGAGTGTTCCCCATTGGAGGTGTTATCCCTGGCTCAGCTCTTTTTCAGGAAAGTTGCTTCTTATTTGGAGGCTGAACTTAATAAATGGCAGGATGGTGAAGGCTGTCTGGCTTCTAGTCCCATCTCCACCCTGAAAAGGCTATGTGACCATTACGAGTTATTGCACCTGAATGAGAATGATAACAGTGCCCACCTCGTAGAGTTAGTAGGTCGAGTAAGTGGAGTTGGTGTCTCAGCTAGTTTGCAAGTACCCAGATGTGCCTGGGACACAGAAAGTGCAGTGGAAACGTGTGTTAAAATATTCCTACTGCAGATAATTGTGGGCCACCCTGGGCAGTGTTAATTATCTGGACTGTTGAATATCTTCATGCTAAATACTGAGCAGTCTGCATTAGGGTTTATACCCTGTGCAGTTAGTTCCCATTGGTCTACTGGTCATTCTCCCTGGGTGATAAGGCTGGGTTTTGTTAATCTCTGTCCCCAGTGCCCACATGGTGTGCAGGAGCGGAGGGACGCAGTGCATGAGGCTGACATGCAGTGAGGGTCCTCAGTGAAGCAGCATCACTTTGGGATTCAGTCTTGGGAAGGGAGGACCACTGTGTGAGTTTTGGGCTGTGCGCCAGTGGGAGACGTGACTTCGGCCCGAGAGGTTTTTCCCAATCTATTTCAATCACTCACCTTATGCTCACATTTTGATTAAGGCTGTGAGAACAGCAATCGGGTTTATGGTGTTCTTACCTCTCTGTGGGTTTAAAAAAGGGGGGGGGGGAGTAAGAAACTGAGACTCATTAGCTTCCCTGGGAGGTGGCCCTGCATTTGTTGAATGTTTGTGATGTGGGCTTCTCATACTGAACTCTAACCCAGATGCTTCACCAACTTCTGTCTGCATCGCAGTATGTCCCTGAATTTCCCTAATGTGATGTAGTATCTCAATCCTACCCTGAAGAATTCCTGAATGGTGCCTGTGTCCCGGCACCCAGAGCAGCCAGCAGGTGGCAGGCCAGCCCCACGGGTCCCTGGGCATCTCTGCCTCGGGTCAGCCCCAGCCGGAGCCCCAGCCCCTCCCACACTGTGCCAACTATCTCCAGAGAAGAAGCGGTGAAGGGGACAGGCCAGGGCTCACAGTCCTTTTCTTCCCCTTTGAGATGGTAATGAGGGAGGAGAGGACGCCCAGCCTGGACTGGGGATAGACTCTCACCCTGACCCACCCCGTCAGGCTCAATGCTGCTCCCTTTTCTACCCTCCTCTGTCTTCCCGTTCCTGGTCCAGGTCCTTCCTGCAAAATCAGGTTTCCTCGCAGCAGGCAAGGGGATTGCAGGATCCCACTCTCCCCTCCTGGTGGGTCCAGCTTGCAGTCTCTGGAGCAGCCTGGGTCTCCTAAGGACAGTCTGACACCTGCCGGTAACCTAGGGGGAAGGACCTTTCACCCCCTGTGGAGAAACAGAGGGTCCCAAAGCCATCTTCTGGGAGCGCCTGTGGCTAGTCTCTCTCACCAGCTGTTGGGCTTGCCATGTTGGTGAGCCTGGCCAGGGAGAGGGTGTTGGGAGCATCAGACCAGCCCACAGAAGGCCTGGCCTTGTGGTAGGTGCAAGGTAAATTGGATACTGTTCTCTAGAATGCGGAGGTCTGTTGGTTCTGATAACCACCAAGGAAAGGAGAAACAAAAGTAATGGATCTGTGGCTCAGTTTTCTTTGGCCCTCATGCCTCTCCACTGGTTCTCTTGCCTAGAATTTTCCAGCAGCTTCACTGTTCCCAGGCCTCCTGTCCTGATGTCTCCACCAAAGCGTCATCCTTCTGACACACAAATCTGACCCATCTCACTTTGCTCCTGCCTGCCTCCACCCCATGCATGTCCTTTTAGAATCCTGTGGTGTCACAGTGCTCTCAAAGCTGAGGTCTCAGCATGTCTGTCCTCCCTCCAGCTTCCCACCTTGCTGTTTATTCTGCAGGAATAGCAAACATCTTACAGTTCTCAAAACTCCCTTTTGCCTTAACACATTCTGTTCCCTGCTATCTGGAAGATCCTCCTGTGTCTTGCTCGCCTGGCCAATTTCTGTTCATCCTTAAAAGCCTGCTCGGCTGTCCCCTTTTCTATGAAGTGTTCCTTGACACACCTCACCCTGCCAACAGTGCTAATAACAGCCTCCCTGTATAACCCAAAACATCCTCCATGGTGCCATAGGGGGCACACACCGCGCAGTATCGTAGCTGTCTCCTGTATCCCCGGCACACCCCACATGGCGAGTCAATGTCCAGTTAGCATATGACATGCCCCCGCCCCGGTACAATCAGGGTAACCTCATAGGCCTAATAGGGTCAGCAGTTTAGAACGCACAGCTTGGCTCTTTATTCATCAGGATGCTAGTTACTGTAAGGCTGACACATGAAATAATTTTTTTTAAAAAAGAATGACCTTGCCCATGAGTGTACCCAAACCCCAGGTCTGATTTTCAAAATCAAAGCATTTATCATGACCTGATGTGGTTGCCATACCTCCTTGCTCTCAGTTTTTCCCCTGTAAGGTCTCTGGTCCTGGGGAGGAAGGGCATGGGGGGAGGGGTGGGCAGAGCAGCCAGGCCTTTGTCCCAGCTCCTGCGGGCCCTGGAGCCCTGGCCCTCCTGTGTCTCAGTCCAGGGTAGCCTTGCTGCCAGAAGGTCTGCTATTCCTTCCCAACAATGATCTGTTGTTACTTTCCCTTTTATTCCCCACCCTTCCTGATGGTTTCTTTTCTCTTCTATTGTTGGGAAAGAAAAAGGGTATCCTTGGTCTAAAACTCTGCTCAGCTACCAGCCTTTTTGCCCAGAGGACATCAGATTACACCTCCCGGCTGAACGATGGTAGCGATATCCATGAACAAGCTCCTTGTGCATTTCTGGACTCTCCAAGAGTTACGACGCTGGGTGATAATCGTCTGTCCCCTTCACTGCCACCTGTTGGCCCAGTCCTAGGCAATGCCTAGAACAGGGTGCGTG